CTATAAAGTACTTGGTCCCGTGAATCTGCCAGGGTCACTCCTGACTGTGAGTGACATGATGATAAAAAATAAATCTCTCCTGAGATTTTGATTCACTTTCGTTGCACAGTATTTTCATCTTGCTTAGTCTGTGGTGTGGTCGGCGTTATTGTGCTATGTCAGTGTTTGGCTGGCAAACCTCATTCCCTGGTGTACTGCAGTGCAGGTGAAGAAGTGGCACTTTCTAGTTTGGCTTCCATTTCAGCCCAGTCTGGTTATTTGGTAAACATTATTCTGTTGGTTAGTATGGCATGTATGAGAATGCACTGTGGAGCACATGTAGAGCAGTGGCTTTAAGATAAGATGAACCAAAATAAGACAGAATAGAATAGAATATCTTTATTGTCATTGTACATATACAACAAAACTCTGTGTGCTTCCCACCAAAGTTACAGATTGCGAAACATAAATAAAATAAAATACAATGAAAATAATAATATATACAATATAGATCAGGGTTATTCAACTCACGGTCCTCAAGGTCCGAACACTGCTGGTTTTCCAACCTTCCTTTACCTGTCAGTCAATTGTGAAGCCTCTGACCAATCAGAATCAGTAATTATTGAACAACTACCTGGGAGAACTTAAAACACGGCCTGAATTTGGAATCGAGGTCCAGAGTTGAAGAACCCTGATATAGATGTACCATGTCAAGCTAGTGCCCTTGAATGAAGAACCTGAACTGAGCTTTAATGACTCTCCTGTTACCTCAACAAGTGAAAAGAATAAAACTGTAGCTGCCAATATATCTCTGAGAAAGATACATATTCTATTAAATAAGGTACAGTAGAGGATGGTTCGGTGGGTGAGGGCTCTGTGCCCCTTGTTTGTAAGGTCATGGGTTCCAAACCCATGGCTGGTAGACTGATCACATCAACAGGCCCTTGAGCATAGCCCTACATATAAACTGCTGCGGGGGCGCCGGCCGGCCCTGCTCTCTGACCCCAAGAACATGCCTCACTGGTATGTTATTCTGGTAAATGCACCTACTAGATATGCAAAAGTACACGTTCATGCATTTATACGAATTATCGAATGAAACCTCTCACCGAATGCATAGATTAAGAGGCATGATACACCTCACACAGGAAGGCAGCCCAAGCTATTTGCTTAGAGAAACCCAGAATGGCCAACTCATCAAAAAACAGGCTTTTCAAAAGCAAGAAGAAACCAGATGACACTTAGGCAAAGATGATGTGAAAACACAACATACATACACACACACACACACAAAGCTGGACCTGGACCCTGGACCTGCAATCCTAGAGGCCTGAGGTGATGATGCCATCTGCAACCCCTAAGGACCGAGGTGCACAACAATGGCAGCCAACAAAATAAATGAAAAAGAAACAAACATCATTTGCACAGCCAATAGGCCCGTGAATGTTTTTGGGCAATGGATAAAATTAAATGAATGCATGGAATGTGCATGGAATGAGGGCTTTTCCTTCTGTGTGACAAAGATTGCATCGATAAGACAAAGGGTATGTGCCTGTGTGTGTGTGTGTGTGTGTGTGTGTGTGTGTGGCCATTGTGAAAGTACAGAGGCTACACAAGTCACACGACCAGCACAGGGGCTGTGTTCCTGAATTCCTCTATTCATACTGAAAATCAAACTCAGGGTCCGCTGTAATTTCATATCTCACTACAACAGCAACAGAACAACTGTGCTGCAAAAGTAGGTACTCATCAAATAATAATAATAATAATAATAATAATAATAATAATAATAATAATAATCATAAAAAGAAGAAGAAGAAGAAGAAGTATTTTCCACAGAAGATATGAAACACCAGGAAGACGTTGTCCAGAGCTGCTCTAGCAGAATTTGATGCCACAAAAATTATTTTTCCAGTCCCTTGTATTCAATCTTTTCAAAGTTGGATTGTTTGAAAACCAGCATGCTGATGGCTGGCCACTCAGAGTGGGGAATTGGGCAATATTATTAAGGATCTCTGCGATGAATGAACTGGGAGATGCTGACACATACAATAAACATGACCAGAATAATGTTAATGTTAAAACGAAAAGCGGCGTGGCCACATTTCACTTCAGGGCAGAACTGGATACAGATTCATAGGGGAAATGTCCCTGTGCAAAGTATAGGGACGTAACGTAAGAGCCGGAGACAAAGGAAGCTCAGTGAGAGAAAGTGACAGAAGCAGCGAGCTGGGGGGTGGTGAGCTTCTCATCTTCACCTCTGTGGTGGCAAGCAGCTCCCTGCCTCTTATGTAACAGACAAGAACAAATATCTCCTTATTTTCAAGCAGTATCCACACTCCGCCATTCACTGCTTGGCTGTCTATGTCCCAAGCATCCACCCATGAGGCACTTATGAGGTATTCTGTGCCAGTTTATTGCCCCGATAAATTTTTTGTGCTGTGTCCATATTATCATTGTGTCTGTGGTGTTTTTAAAGTATATTTCACTACGGCTATATTACAGTATATTGATAAGCATTTTTTGTTTTGAGCTTCAGGGCAGTGTGTAGGTAGTATATGCTACATTTGGTCATGCTGCCTGGTGTAGGCTCCAAGCCCCATGACCATAACCAGGATAAGTAGCTGGAAGCTGGATGGACGGACGGACAGATGGGTGGATGGACAGTTGGATGCTTATTACTTTTGGATTTAACTGTTTTATTATAAACTATTATGACACCTACTAATCAGACAATATTGGCTCTACTCTCTTATAGCTTTCTCTCATACATAAACAAGACACATTATGAATATGCACTACATATATTTAAAGGTCAAATAGTGAATGAAATTTACTTCTCCTGTTGAAGCATCTGCATGTTAGAAAAAAACTCGTTTTTACTTATTTTTTTATTTGTTAGCTAACTTGGGGCAGCGCCGTGATGCAGTAGTTAGCACTGTTGCCTCGTACCAGAATTTGAGTCTCTGCCGCGGCTCCATGCATGGAGGTCGCATGTTCTCCCTGTGTTGTTGTGGGGTTTCCTCCAGGCATGTTGTTACAGAAAATAGGTAGATTAGCTAACTTTTTTATGCTGCAGGTAAATAGTCATAAGTAATTTTGGTGGGTAGCACTGTGGCTATTTGTGTGCATCTGTGTTTGCAGTTGCAGTTAGTTAAAAATGGCATCTCTAAATTACCCTTAGTGAGTGGAATTGTGAGCCCTTCAAAGGACTGGCACCCAACCCAGGGTGTCCCTCCCTTACGCCCTGTGCCTCCTGGGATAAGCTCCAGATTGCACCATGACGCAGTACTGCCTAAGATTTTAATCGTAGGATCACTTGTGCAGCAATGCTTCCCCCTGCTGGTAGCACCAAACATTACATTATTTCTGACTGTCACTTCAATGTTTTTCAAAGTAATCAGTGACACTCATGAGTTGAATCGGTTGTAGTAACAACGGATTTCTAAACAAGGTTATTTGAAGGTCCAAAGCCATCTGTTTTGGTGCACAGCAATTAATAAAGATGCTACTATCGGTATAATATTTAAAATGTCCCTCCACTATAGAGAAATGCTGCGATACTTTAATTGCTTTTACAAGCATTAAAAAATAACACTTGTTTTCACAATTTGTTCGTTCAAATTGCTTTATAAAATTCATTTAAAACTGTGGTAGTTAGAGCTGACAAGATTGCACTGCATCATTTAACTCTAAATATGTCAAGGTCAAAAATGAACATAATTCTACTAACTGGGCAGTTCAGTTTGAGTCCGTCTGACTTGCAAATAATTCGTTTAAGGTCAGAGTGAAATGTGTCTGTCACGTCCGAAGGAGGGACAACTCACAGGCAGCCATAGGGTGAACTAAAAAGGTGCTTTATTAACCAAAACAAATGGAACGGGAAAACGACCACGAGGGGGAACCGAGAACACTTAAGCGGAACACTGGGCTAATACCGAAACACGGGAAACAGTCACATAGGGAATGGCGCAGAGAATAACATAGATAATAATGACAGGACTGAGGATCAGACGACAGGCAGACACTAATATACATGGACTGACGAAGGGCAAACGAGAGGCAGGTGATTTCAACACAAACGGAAGGGCAGGAGATCTAAACACGAACGAAAGTGAACAAAATGGCCAGCAGTGACATCTGCTGGCCATACGGGGACACGACAGACAGGTCCTAACTGTGTGCTCCTTTTACCTCCTTAATTGGAAGTCCGTGCTGTATATATGGTCACTGTTAATGTGTGTACACATTTCTTTTTTAATGTATGCAATGCTGAACAATTTATGAGAACCTTGTGATTCAGGACAAAAGGGGGGTCCCGCTCGGTAAATTTACTTGGAACATCTGGAAAGAGGGGCACATTAATTCGTTCAGAGGAAAGGGGGCACCCCCCCCCCCATACACACACACACACACACACACACACACACACACAACCACGCACACCTGTCTGGTAGACCTACTTTATGAAGTTAATCTGTAGGATATATAGTGTGGGATTCAACTGTTTTAGCATAAATTGGTAAAAAAATAATTAGCTGAAATTTATATGTCATCAAAACAATACATCTTCAAATACAAGCTTTGGATATTCAACCAGTTTTATTCATTGCTTTATTTGTTCACGTGGGGGTTAACCTGAAACACAACCAGATAAAGTTCTTCCCCCAGGGGCTCTCATAAATGAAGTCCTTGTTTGTCGTATAAGTTTTTTTCAATGAGCTACAAATAATTTTCAGACCCACGGTTATTATCTGTGTAATCACAGTAGGCCTAATATTCATCCATCTATATACTGTTATAGGGATTAATATGCTATTAATGGCTGTGATTGCTCAGACTGTCATTTTTTGGTGGTTGTTTAATAAACATTATGATGACTATATATCGTTATGGACAAAAGCAACCACGTGAATAACTGTACCATAAATTAAACAACTTGCCATCCCACATACATAGATCTATGCGCCAACCAAACGCCTGCTTCGCTCAACGACAAAAAACCGCGGCGGATGTGACGTAAGAGGAAGTGACGCCAGGGAGAGGCCGCAGTGGCGACGTGTCTTTAGAACTAGAGTCTTTTTCTTAGCGGAGACTAAGCCGGTGCCACATAAACTGGTCCGATCCGACGTACCGGGGCCATTAACGCGCTGAGATCCATACAGAGGGAGCCATGGGCAGTGAGTATAGCTATGAGCTTTTGCCTGGCTACTGGTGGTTTGCATTTGTTCATCACTGTTCCATTTAGTAATTTTAACTTGACAGTTGGAGCAGATACTGCTCATAGTGGGGAGGGTGGAGGCCATCTTCTATTTATAATCACCAAATTTGGAAGCGGCATTTTTTTGCCTCTATAGTTTTAATGCGTATCGATCTGCTGTTAGAGTTCTTATTTGAAAGCCTACGGTGGTTTGGGTCCAGCGCTTTATTCTGGGTCCCTCTGCCGACTATGACAAATGGGGCCCTAACTATCACCTCTGATGGAGGCTGTTGCCTGTCTATTCGAGTCTAAATACGGTGTTGCGCTCTGCTTGTCAAGGCAACTTAACTAATTTCTAGTTAATCCAAAGGTTTAGTTTCCGTACATTTTATAGCTGTTTTGATACATTGTTTCTAATAGTAGAAACCTTTAGGCAGTGATAACCGGACTTGTGCCGAATAGACGCATGGATTGAGAGCATTTATGTCGAATTTATAGTTTTCCGTCTTTATTTTATTTAAATGTGTAATCGTGTATTTTCAAGCAGTGTTCTGCATTTATTTGAAGGTAACTTTATATAGAGAGATTCTGTACTTTTCACTCGGGTCCACTTCTGTATTAGTGATGACGTAGCACAACAGAGAAACATTACTACTGCTTTGGTTACAGCCTTTATTTACCTAGTAAAGCCGCTCATAGTTAGACTACAAGTCTGCTTTATATTGTGGTAGTAGTGAAATGTAATCCAATTAATTTAATTTGTTTAGGGTCTCATTATAATGATCGGAATAAAATCAGCAGTCAGTATCCAGTTAACCCATGTTCATTGGTGAGGTGTAAGATTTTATTTGAATCGCTTTCTTTGATTGGAGTAAATGGCTGATGAATTCGGTTGTCCCAGGTAGCCGGTAAATTCTGCCAGCCGAAGGCAACGGCAGACCGATGCCACGTCTGCTTGCCTCCTTGTTAAGGATGTATATAGACGTTATAAAACCGTTTTATCCTTAAAGTTAACACCGTTTGTCCTGTGTTTTTTTTTCAGTAAAATTTTTAGAAGTTATAAAGCCATTCTGTGCCGTTTTACCTGAAATCCAGAAGCCTGAAAGAAAGGTAAGCCTTAGTTTTCCCTTGCTTTATATATTGGGGGAAAAGGATATTGGAGACAAGGGTGATGTTAATAACTGAAATCATTCATTCTTCCCCAGATTCAGTTCAGAGAGAAAGTATTATGGACTGCCATCACTCTGTTCATTTTCCTGGTCTGTTGTCAGGTGAGTTTCTTCTCCTTTACAAGAAAACTCATTGAAACTAAATATGTAAGAAGCCCAAGCCTTTAAGTTCCCTATAAGTTAAAATTTGGATGTCAATTCTGACCATAATTAAAAGCAAAGGAATGGACCAGAGAACTAGTGTAATGTGACTGCGCCGTTTGCACTAATTATCAGAGCATGGTTTCTTCCAGCACTGATTCTGTCGTCCCTTTCAGATCCCCCTTTTCGGTATCATGTCGTCAGATTCTGCAGATCCATTCTACTGGATGAGGGTTATATTAGCATCCAACAGAGGTATGTGTGAATCTTGCACCCTTCCACTGTGTGTGCCTTTGAGCAAAGCGTTGCTACACATTTTTCCTGTACCCTTTCAAATCAGCGTAAGACTCCTATGCTTCCCCTGTTTGATAAACATCTTGTTCTAACTTAATAACCTTATATTATGAGTGGTGGCTCTTAATGTTTTTTAATTATTGAGAAATACTGATATGCTTGCGCTTGGACCAGTTGCTTCAAGAAGTTTCAAAATGTTCTAATTGTTTATGACGTATGTGTTGTTTATGACTGTGAGATCATTGCTGTACAGCTCTTGCTTTGCTTGTTCAGTACTGGATGTGCAGCCCAGTTGCTCGGCTGTTACTGGTAGATGTTGCCCTTGTTCCATCCTCTTGTCTTACCCTCTTTAGGCACCCTGATGGAATTGGGCATCTCTCCCATTGTCACCTCTGGCCTCATCATGCAGCTGTTGGCTGGAGCCAAGATCATTGAGGTTGGGGACACGCCCAAGGACCGTGCGCTCTTCAACGGGGCACAGAAATGTAAGGCACACCTGTCTCCTGTACGTCTGCTGCCGTTCCACAGGAACTCTCATCATAGTTTGACATAACGTCGTGTTCTTATCTGAGCTGTAGGGTTAAGTACATATATGAGGGCCGCTGAATATTTTTCACGTAAAGAAGACACCGGGAGCCCTGTGTTTTTCCTCTGTCTGCGAATAGCTCCCTTGATTTCACTTAGCGCTTTGCTCATGAGTGCAAAGTCCGGGTGTCCTCTTGCGGCTTGAAGTAGGTTGGGGTTGAGTCCATGTCCTTAAATGCTTGATTACCCGATGCCCTATTTAGGGAGATTCAAACTCCTCACGTAGGTAGTACTCTATGCTTGGCTTTACTGACTGCGAAGCCTCTTAGGCTTAAATTTTTATTTTTCATTTAGCTTCTATGTTTTTGTAAATTGTAAATTATTAGCGGATAGATGACTCGTAACAACCTGGACTGGCTTAATCCTGATATTTAAAAATAATGTATGACCTCTTACCTGACCATCACATTGTAAGATCATTGTTATGAGTCTGTGTTGGTTGCTCTTCCCGCTCTAACATCACTCTCTCTGCTGCAGTGTTCGGTATGATCATCACTATTGGACAGGCCATTGTGTATGTGATGACTGGGATGTATGGTGACCCCTCCGAGATGGGGGCTGGAATCTGCCTGCTAATCATCATCCAGGTAAGTCGTACCGTCCCCATTCCTCTTCCAGTCAAACGGCTGTCTGGGATACATTCTATTTTTCGACTGGACATCATTTTAGGCTATGGAGTCATTCCGCCCTTTACATCGGTAGCATTTTTGGTTTCATGCAGTCTCATCTCTCCCCAGCTCTTTGTGGCCGGTCTTATAGTCCTGCTTCTGGATGAGCTGCTACAGAAGGGCTATGGGCTGGGCTCTGGAATCTCTCTCTTCATCGCTACCAACATCTGTGAGACCATTGTCTGGAAGGCCTTCAGCCCAACCACCGTCAACACTGGCAGAGGTGAATACTTCTCTCTCCCCCATCTAGCTTTTATGAAGTCCTGGTACTTTTAGGTGGCTCAATCCCACCTTGTGGTGATGCCTCTTACCACGCACTGTTAGGTTACCATTGGCTGACAGTTTAATTTTGTTTAGTTGTCTGATTTTGTTTCTAACCCTGCTGTAATTCATAGCAGAGAAGGGTGCAGAATTTTATACTTAATGTTTTCCTGCATTTTCATGACTTGATTGAGTGGAATTGATGTTGAAACATTGGCTTGTAGGTGTGGTGGGCCTGTTCAGGATCATCTTAGAACCAGCCCCTACCGCAGTCAGGTGATGCATGGATGGAATTTGACCTTTGACCTTTGACGCTTTCCATTTCAGGGACTGAGTTTGAGGGAGCTATCATTGCCCTCTTCCACCTGCTGGCCACCCGCACAGACAAAGTGCGGGCGCTGAGGGAGGCCTTCTACAGGCAGAACCTGCCCAACCTCATGAACCTCATCGCCACGGTCTTTGTGTTCGCTGTGGTCATATACTTCCAGGTCAGTATCTTTTCCCCCCTTCTCCTCCCAGCTTGTTTAACAACACATTCCTTTTGTATGAACTTGTATGAACTTTTTTATGAAATTTGTAGTTCTAAATGAGCCAATTAATTGTTTGTTGGAATTGTTTTTTGCAGACGGTTTTGGTAGGAATGAAATGTCATGGCTGAATATAATCTCCCCCTCAATATTGACAGGGCTTCAGGGTGGACCTTCCCATAAAGTCTGCTCGCTACCGTGGCCAGTACAACACCTACCCAATCAAGCTCTTCTACACTTCCAACATTCCCATCATCCTGCAGTCTGCCCTGGTATCCAACTTGTATGTCATCTCGCAAATGTTGTCAACACGCTTCAGTGGGAACTTCCTGGTTAACCTACTGGGCACCTGGTCTGTGAGTATACGTCTTTACTCATGGTACTCTTCTTCTCAACTTGTATGATGTTAGTAACCTGTATGGTTTAAAATATACATTGAAATATACTTTAATGCAATATTTTATCTGAATGAGCCTAAAAACAGTAAATTTTGTATTTCTCCATAGAGTAGCTGATTTGAGTGGTTCTTCCTTGATTGATTCTAGGAGGAAGGCTTGCTCTAAATGTGTTCTCAGTCTTATGTTTTTCCCTCATTCCTCAGTATTTCTAAATCTATTTTGTCTGATGTGCTTTCCCAGGATACATCTGCGGGTGGCCCAGCTCGTGCCTACCCTGTTGGTGGTCTCTGCTACTACCTATCTCCCCCAGAGTCTTTTACTTCGGTCCTTGATGACCCGGTCCATGCAGTCATCTACATAGTCTTCATGCTCGGCTCCTGTGCTTTCTTCTCCAAGACCTGGATTGAAGTGTCTGGCTCATCTGCTAAAGATGTAAGTCGCCACACTTCTTAGCCTTATCTTAAGCTAGCACACCTTCGCTATTCTTGTTTTCGCGTCTTGGAGTCATCGAGTTGGAGCATGTCACGTTTCGACATGATAGGAATGCCCGTAAGCTGCATGATGTGTGATTTGCAGACAGGATTTCACAAACTTTGCTGTCAGGATGGGCAATAGGATGGGTGTGTGCTATATACATCATTACTGTAGTGATTGACAATATTGTGTAGGGCTTCATAGTAAGTTAAACATGCTTTTGCTGTGAAATGTATATACATGAAGTGCTTTGATTATATATCCAGCTATGCATTAAACTGCCTAGTGAAGGCAGATTTGTCTCCTGGAACGTACTGTTGTATTTCTGGATGTTTTCTTCATTTGTGCTCTCTGTTCAGGTGGCCAAGCAGCTGAAGGAGCAGCAGATGGTTATGAGGGGCCACAGAGAGACCTCGATGGTCCATGAGCTGAACAGGTAAAGCATACCTCCAATGCCTCCACAGGAGCCTCTCTGATCTGGTTGAATCCCTGGCAGCTTTGGAGTAGATGAGGCAGCGGCAGAAGGTTTTGTACCAGCATTCTGACCACGCCTCCTCTCCCTGCGCAGGTATATCCCCACCGCAGCAGCGTTCGGCGGCCTCTGCATCGGCGGCTTGTCTGTGATGGCCGACTTCCTGGGGGCCATCGGCTCTGGCACTGGGATCCTGTTGGCCGTCACGATCATCTACCAGTACTTTGAGATCTTCGTGAAGGAGCAGAGCGAAGTGGGGAGCATGGGCGCTCTTCTCTTCTAAAATCCCTCTCAGCAGACAGACCCGGCATTTTTTGTACTTCACTTTTGTTTTTTTTTTTAAGGAATCATACACATGTCTGTGATCTAGCTCTTGGAGTTTTGATGGGTGAACATCCTTCCATTGGAGCCCATGGGGCAGAGTCACATTTTGAACTGGACTTTAAGTGAGATTGCAGGGGGCCGATATGTGTTACAGGACGGATTACCCTTTTCACAGCATCCATCTCTCCAGTCTGTTTGGTACAAGATGACAGGGGGTTTATTTTTCCTCCTACCCCCCCCTCCCCCCCCCCCCCCCCCCCCCCCCCCCCCCCCTTCCCTCCCCCTGCACAGTTTTTGACATTCTATTTGACACACCTCTGCCTCACCTAGCTGACTATCGCTGTTACCTGGATGTTAACCTGATGTCACACAGCATTGGATAAACTATGCCTTCTCGCATAGAGTGGCATAGAGATCTCGCGTAGACAAGTGACTTTGCTGTTTTTAATCTCCAGAAGAAGGTCGGTTTAGGTGCAGGTTTTACCTGTAAGGTATCTCCTAAAGCTAAGCAATTGTAGGTTGTTCAGTGGCAGAAGTACTCATTCACAACTCGGTCCCGTTTATTTTATTTGCAGCATTGCTGGTTTTAGGTTAAGTACAGTTTTCCCCCAAATAAAGGGAAGTGTCTGTATGTGGGTGGGTCCCCCGACCGACTTTATGTGCATGTTGCACACTGGAATCTGCCAGGGGCAGGAAGAGGAAGTTTTTTGTTTTTTTTTACTTCTCTGTATTGGATATAACTGTATTAAAGGTTTTTGTGTATTGCTTTATTGTACATATACCATTTATGCATTCCTCCACAGTGTAAGCTATTTGTGTGTAAAAAGAAAAAAAAAACACTGTGAGGACATGTTTAAATTGACTGCCAGGTAATATAAAGCCGCTTTGGAGGAAACGGAACAAAAAACGAACACCCATAGAGCTTAACTGATACGGAGTACTGGAATGTATTTTCTCCTCTATTGGACTAAACGCAGCTGACACAAACCTGTGATCGCAATACAGTTGTAACACCTGCACAGCCAGTGTTTAAGAAGCAGTTAGTATCCTAGAAGACTCAATGTCGAATAAATAATTCTTTATAAAAATGAGTTGAATGTGTCTTAATCACCAAAAAGATCTGCTTTGTCCAGGAGGAAAAATCTATTAGGTCATTACAATTATAGCGTTTTCTTCTATTCTCTGACAGTGAAAACACAAAAGATCGTCTAGTTCTTCAAAACAAAACAGCTCTGCCCAGAGATTCGTAGACTGAAGATACAACATAAGTTATATTAGAAGTTTCCCATAGCTGGTCGGACTCCAATCCAAAATCCACTACACTTTAGTGTAAAATGGACGTTTTATCTCCTAACGGGTAGCGCTTACCGTTTTAAAAATCATCTGACAACCTTGCTGGTGTTTCCATCAGCAGTCTAGATTTTCTTATACGGCTATTTTTTATTTAATAATCACAGTATTGATAATATTGATACTAACATGTGGCAACACATGTTTCCTGTCAGCCAGAGGCCATTCAAGGTTAAAATTTTGTAAAATGTCATAAACTTCAAAGACTGTCTTGTCTTACCGTTCTGACCTCAGGTATTCCGGAATCATTATTATTATAAGGTACGTTTATTTATTATGCTCATGAAGTTTAGTTAAGTAATGAATCACATTTTTAATTCTAAGAGGATTGAAGTAGGTCAGTTTGTATCTACATTCTATTTTTGATTTTTAAAGATTGAATAAAGCCGTGTTTCGATCGGCATTGGTGTGAACAGCTCTTACGCACGATGGGGTCCTTAACACGCAGTGATGTAATCGAAAGCTCGCGATAGTAAGGAACTGGAAGATGAGAGGTCGGAGGTTGGAGTTTGCAGCGTGTCGGGCGGTTGAAACCGGGGTGGCTGAGGAAGAGTGGCCGGTATTGACCACTGACAGTAAAAGGAGGTAGAAAAGGCTGTCGGTGGGATTTGTTGTGGAACACGGAAACTTCTACGCTGACAGAAATGTCGCATTGCAAGCAGGAAGGTATGCCGAAGTCCCATTTCCATTCATTTCTTCGCGGCAATGTCATTTACATGACCAACTGACCAGAGTAGCACGAGCTGGTGCGATCGTGTAAATGTATTACTTAATCAGTTACCTTACTGGTTATCTAGGCGTAAGTGTGGGAAAGCAGTGCTACAAATATTCAGCTATATATGGATTGGTGCATGAGTCTAACCATAAATAATACTATCCTAAGCTATTAAGATATACTTTATAGTGCATCTTGATTGCTGTGCAGATCTCAACACGTGGATATAAAGATTCTCTATCTCATTTTTATAATTATTCTTAATTAAGCTCATTCATTTAAAAAATAAATATATTGATCACATTAATAAGCTTTGCATGATTATCACCTAAAGACCTAAAGGTTATATGGGTATATACGTTTAATTTTTACCCTATTTGTCGAATTTATTTAGTGAATTAGTATAATATTAATGTCTGTTAACAGAAGCTAACTTGCAGAATATGTATAATCTGTTTTAAAGATTTTGATCCTCGTTATATTTCTACATTAGTCAATGCTAATGTGACGCGGGTGCATAACTGGATTCCTTTTAATTCTGGTTTGGACCTCTTATTTTTGCCTACAGACGGCGCCAGGATAACTGTCAGTTTTTATTGTTCCTTGTTGCCAAATAGCTGTTTAGAGTTGTAAACATTTTGACCTTCCCATGTGTAATTGGCGCTGTTATGGGTATGGGGTTTTGATTTTTATTTCCTGAGTGTTTAATTGATTGATTGATTGGTTGGTTCTGTGTTCTTCTCTTTGGCAGGTAAGGATCGCATAATCTTTGTAACCAAAGAGGATCATGAAGCGCCCAGCAGTGCGGAGCTGATAGCTGATGACCCCAATGACCCTTACGAGGATCAAGGTGAAGGCAGCATACCTTTGTTGGGAGAAATTGGGTGAAGACTGATATCTGTGTTTATACTCTTGGATTTGGGGCAATCTGAGATGAGGAGTATTGTATACTTATTCATTTTAATGTATTTTACATTAATTGTATTTACATTGTAATTAAATTGTAATTTATTTGCACCTGGTTTGATGCTAATTGCATTCCATTAGCTCTGCAGCCTATACTCAGTAAAGTTGAGTCAAATCTAATCTAAAAAAAAATGGGCTATGCAGAGACCGAATGTTGTATTGGGTTTCATACATTATCAGTCAAATGTCTGGATGCACCTGCCAAAGATCTTTTATTTTTTTTACAAGTTAATGTTCTTAAGCACCTTAAAGGTAAGTAGCAAGTATTATCTTGTGAACAAGGAAAGCGATGGAGTGCTGCGACAGATGACCTACCCACCCAATACTCTATACAGCTGGTTTGGGACAGTAGCCAACTTGTGCCTAGATCTTGTGGGAACTCCTTCAGCACTGCTGAAGAAGCATTCCAGGTGGCTACATCTGGAAGCTGGTTGAAAGAATGGCAAGAGTCTGCGATGCTGTCATCGAAGGCAGGGGGGAGGGAGGGCTAGAATTTAAGAAAATTCCGCGATGCTGAACACTTCTCTTGGTTGTTGCTGTTTTTGAGATTTTATTATTTCATTTCCTCAAGGCCTTTTACTATAAGCTGAATAGCACAGGTAAAATAGAGACAAACGCATTGAAAGCGGGTGTATCCAGGCTTTTAACTAAAGCCATGACACTACATTGTATCGTGTTCTGTTCTAATCTGATCTTTCTCCACAGGCCTCATCCTGCCGAGCGGAGAGATTAACTGGAACTGCCCCTGCCTGGGGGGCATGGCCAGTGGGCCCTGTGGGGAGCAGTTCAAGTCGGCTTTCTCCTGCTTCCACTACAGCACAGAGGAGGTGAAGGGCTCAGACTGTGTGGATAAGTTCCGTGGGATGCAGGAGTGTATGCAGAGGTACCCCGAGCTGTACCCCCAGGAGGACGACAACGAGAGCGCCTCACCCCCCAGCCAGGACTTCGCCCCAGAGCCTGACTCCGCCCCAGAGCCTGACTCCGCCCCCACCTCAGAGGACACACCCCCCACAGAGAGCTCAGCCACCAGCTAATGCCAAATTCTCCATCATGTAGCCTTTCCACTGCAGCCACTGAGGGGGAGGTACGAGTCCCAGGTTGCGAATATGCGTATCAGCGCATTGGGCCCCACTGGCTGGATTCATTAGGATCAGAAGCGGCTAAGATGAGAAGGCAAAGATCTTAAAGCTTTAGGAAGTCCCTGGAAAGATTGCCTTTATTTCCCCTCGCCTTCCCTGAATTTGACGTGGAAAGGAGGATCCCCAACATAAATTAAACTTTTGTTTGACTGAGAGCAGCAGCACTGTTTATGGAGGACCCTGAAATTCTCCAGTAGTTTGTCGTACCCCGGTACCCTTACGTCGATGGCGTGATGTTGCCCTTTGTATCCGTTCACAGGCTACATACTAGTGAAAATAGTACAACTGGAAAATTTATTTGATTATAAGCTTACAGTCAGACCTGGAGTTTAGTTCTAACAGCGTACTCTCTGCAGAATGACATTAAGCAGTTACTGGTCTCTAGGATGCTGCTGGTTCTAGGTGAGAACACTGACTTTCTATGCAAACCTTTCCAGAGAAGCAGGCCGGGGTGCATGAAGTGTTTGCAGTGAGGGTCCATAATGCCACGGATAAGGGGAAGAGCTCTGGGGGCAAAGGCCGTGTATGCAGAGTCCTGAGGTTTTCGTGTTTGTCTCTTTTCACATTCACAGCCTTAATGTACCATCACATCCTTCTTAGCCAGTAATTAACTGTTATTAAACAGACCACTCTCTTGCTGTGTGGTGTCTTGGACCAGCCATTTACTTCCTTGTTGGTGAATTAACCCAAATATCCAAGGTTCTGAATTTGGAGAATCTGAACAGAAGAAAGGTGTACATATGCTTTTTTTTAATCAAACTATGGGCAAAACCATTCACTTTGAACCATTTTCATCAGTCTTTTCTGTTTTCCATAGCATTTGCACAAATGAGGATAACAGAGAATTTGATTTATTTGTTGATGGATTCAAATATGAGCCAGTGTTATATGCAACACACAGAAAGAGCAGACAATGCTTTCTGTCTCTTAAAGGTGCCGTGAAGAGGCAATTTTACTGTTTGTTATTATTCACTAAATAATGTGTTTGATCTCTACAGAAGATGCTTCTCTGCTTCTCTTGCAGCTGGTTGAAGTAAACAAAAAAAATATCCAGTTTGTAGTAAGGGGAGGCATGAAGCTTTGAATCTTCCAATCAGTGGGATGGCCATAAGCTGTCAATCACTGTCCTGTTGTCCAATGAGATTTAACCGTGGACTGACAGAGTGTCTTAATGCTTCCCAGGGGGGCTTCCAAAGCAAGATTTTCACTGTGGATTTTGTCAGGGCGCTGTCTATTCACCTGGAAACGCGGAGAGCTTCCTCCAGACCTGGGGTTTCCTCCGAACATGGTGGTTTTGTTGTACAGCTAGTCCAGCTGCCAGTAGTACCCGCTCCCCTGTACCTGGGTATGTCCTGAGGTGCGAGTGGGCGTGTCAGGGGCAGCCTTGCTCCAATGTCTCAGCCACGTGCTCCCCCACCTTGGCCGTCCAGCGGAGTACCATGCTTTGAGTGGTCACCAGCAGACGCCCCGACTCCACCTCCTCCGGCCCGGCCAGCAGGTACTCCACCCCTAAGCCGGAGGATGAGCAAAAAGTGAGCTTGGAGTCTTTTTTTTTTTTTTTTTTTTTTTTTGATGGTTCACTGACTTGATGGAAAGTGTCCGGCTGTTCACCTGAGCAGTGACGGCTCTACAGGCAGACCTTGTGTAACGTTCTGGTTGTGTGAGTAATATGGACTTGGCGAGAGAGGCAGGCGGGGACCTCTGCAGGCAGGTATGAGGAATCGCTTAACGCTGTCACTCCCACAGCCCATGAGATCACACACGATGCGAGTGGCAGCACTGAGCGTACAGTTCACCCAAAGCTAATGACGGTGATCTCCAGCCAGCACTGTCAATCAGCATCCCAGCTGGAGGTAAGTACCCACCTAGAGTTACTGTCCGAAACTCACCATGGTCTTCAGTAAGACAGAAACTAGGGGAGGTTTCTGAAGACTTGAAGGCTACAATGATGTGAAAACAGCCTTGCTGAGCTAAATAAAGCCAAATTAGCTGGACAATAGAGCTTCCTACAAGGAATGGTTTAGGGTTGTGGATCTTCTGATATTCAATTTTATAGTGTTATTTACTGAGAGAGACTGTGGATTTGGCAAACAGGAAGGAAAATTAGATAAGATGTCTTAAAATGTACAGAAACCCATTTTAAAACGGTTCTATCTAACCCTCTGCCCTTTAATGTAATAAGTATCTGCGGCATGCACACAGAGTGTAATGTGAAGCTGAGTTTTATACCTGGATTGAGGATGGGACAGGTGCAGCCCAAGGTCGTCCATGACACGGGGAACAGGCTGTGGGTGCCCTGGGACAGGGACAGGCGTCCCGATCGCAGCACCTTGCGCACCTTCACTTCCACCTCCACGTGGCTGCCTTTGTCATGAGCCGACAGCACGCTGGCCTTGATGACTGTCACATGAAGGGACAGTACGTGGGATCTGACTGTTCGCTGAAATGCTACATGTACTGTTATTCTACACATACAATACCTAGGATGTTATTGGGACAGATGTCGCGCTACACAGATTGGTCACATGGCCAGAACATTTCGGCATATGTGTACTGAATAAAGCCCAACCCAATCCTCGCTAACTCCCTCACACATCCTCTTTGGCAGCAACATACCAGATGGTATCACCAGATTGCAATATGTGTGAAATCTGCGGCCTAATTATTCTTACCGTAGGCATACTTTCTCTTGCAGAGATCAGAGATGCTTTTCAGAGTTTTCTCCTTGCAGTTGCATTTCGCTGTAATAGATGCTAGTGTCACTGACCCATAGAACCACCTGTCGTATACCTGTCTGCTATACCTGGTTCAGGCTGTCATATAATTTGTTTGCCAGGATTTCAGAAGATAAATATACAAAACCAGTATATACCCTAGGCTGACCCCCATATAATCACCTGTATAATGAATAGCTGAGATAGTGAGCTCCTCTGACCACTCCTTTCCTTTTTCATTGGTCAGGCTGCTTGTACCGTCGGGGATCCTTCCACCAATGGGAATGTTGTAGGCCTCATAGTGATTTCTGTTTCTCAGAGTAAAGGCAGGATTCAGGGAGAGGCTCATGATGCATTTGATGCCAGAGCAAAAGTATTTTATGACATCATGATCTAAACCAGTCATTAGCAAATGTGGGCGTGGCTACCAGCTAACGAGGCAGAGAGGGAGGAGCGGCAGGGTTCACCTGTCTTGACAGTGTCCTGTGATGGAGTCGCAGTTCTGGGGGCAAGAGCACCGTGTGCAGCCATTGGGCCCGAAGCCCCAGTAGCCTGGGAGGCAGTGGCTGCAGGTTCGACCGCCAACCCCCAGCTTGCAGTGACAGTGCCCACTGCGGGGGTGACACCAGCGACCCTCAGCCCTGCCCTGCACCGAGCCGACAGAGTCACACCAGCAACCTGTGGGGGAAAAAAGAGCCAAAATACAAGACTGATTAGGGATAGTAAGCAGAAGGGCCATTCAGGGTCTTCCAGACTTTCAATGGCGTCAAACTCCATCCAGCCATCACCCGTCATGCTCTTACGGGTGCAGGCGTGTGGCGAGCTCAAGGCTGTGCTGCTCCGCCGCTGATAACCCGGGCGGCAGCGCTGGCACCTGCTGCCCTCTGTGTTGTGACGGCAGCCATCGCAAACTCCCCCACTCACACCCCCTGTAGTCTGCCACATCCACCGGGAGAAGTGGCAGCTGTCGGCATGACCGTGACACTCGCACCCTAGCAGATGAAGAACGTCAGCAGGAGGAAAAGGGACATAGGATATGAAACAATGTCGATATATGTGCATCCATCCAGACCCTAACCAGGGAAGTAGAGTACCTGTCAAAAGTATTTGCATTATGGCAAATAGGAAAAAACTAGTTTCCAACAAGTGTAAATTTACACTGATAATCTACATATGGTATAAGTTAGTTTTATGTTATTTAGCAGATAACATAAGTCCACATTTACAAGGTACTGGATTGTAACAAATGGGGAAAAATACCAGAATGTGACCAGCTTGTACTTCTGTAACTCGCTGTGTGACTATTCAGCATAAACATTTTAACCATTTAAGTTGCTCTGTTAGTCTGAAAGCAAAGCAGCGCATCCACAATAGAGCTCAGAGCGTTCAGCTGAACAGGAGAGATATTCTCAGTGAGATCAGCATGCCGTGGCCTCATGTCTGAGCCGTGACACCTGGTGGCCCCCACCTTCAGGGGCACTCACTCTTGCAGGGGTGGGGCTCCCCGCTGTTACCGTTGGCAGGTCTCCAGGGCCGGTCGTTGAAGAGGGGGGCGCACCTCTGGCAGTGCTCTCCCGCCGTGTGGTGTGCGCACACGCACCGGCCCGGCACCTGCCCCCAGGACACAGCACGCCATCACATTCTGCTGCATCCTGCAGTTTGCGCTACATGCATATATTTATCCATGCGCATGTTAAACAAAAGCATGCTCACTTGGAGCATACATGCTTGCGCAGAACATGACACTCACGACACAACGCGAACGCAAACTCTACGCACCATGCCAGCATGAGGTCGCGTGCCCAGCCGTGCCACAAACGGTTGGCACCGTCCTGCATGCCCATGACAGAGGCAGGTGCCCCCAGCTAGCAGACCGTAGACAGGAGAGGGCGTTGAATCCGTGCCAGGGGGGCTGCTTTGCCTGGAAACAGGGGCGGGACAGGACTGCTCCCTGAGAAGCCGTATTCTCAGATTGGTGAGCGTGAGCCGGGCAAGAGCCTCAGGGCTGTAGGGGTCCCTCAGGCTGTCTCCGGGACTGAGGGCCCGAAAGATAACCTGAGGACACAAAAAAAAAACAGTGTCCGCATGCATCTACAATCCTACCTTTGGTCACAGTGAGGATTGTCACCCAGTCCCTACCTCTCTGCTACTGGAGTAGCGGGAGGTGCACAGGGCACCCGGGGTCCTGATATCATCAGGGAGGCCGAACATTTGCCTGCAACTACTGGAAAAGAATTTGAGTGGCTCCCAGGACAGGGTGAAGTCACGCGACCGCTCCAGGACCATGGCCAAGGGGCAGGGCAAGCGAAAAGCCACCACCACGTGGGTCAGGGTGAACTGCGTCTCCAGGTCCAGCTGGACCTCCTCCTCCAGTAGCTCCCCCAGGTGCGAAGGCAGAGAGTGGCAGTGCGGGGCAAGGCAGGGCAGCGAGGATCTGTTTCCACAGCAGCTGCTGAGGGTGGTCAACTGTCTGCCAATCGCTAGATTCCCTACGGGGGCGCTACATGTGTGGTTCCTGCAGCGGGATCCTGCAAGAAGGGTTGCCACAAAGATTCAAAGTATAAGACAGTGATTCCCAGATCTTGAAACTCATGTGTACAGTTTTTTCCTCACCCCTCTTTAAAATGCTTCAGTATCGAGAAACAAGGATAAGTTGGTTCTATTAGCACAGTAACCACTTCAATAAATGACTTAGGTGTTCCACAGACGTATAACTGATTTCTTCTGTAATTACAGGGGGTAATTTATTTGCGGAGTCTGGTACCACTTTGACATGCATGACTTTAATACCTCCTTCATACTATGTACTCAAGCTGTAAATTATCCATCCATCTTTTATAACCGCTTGTCTAATTCAGGGTCGCAGGCAGGAACAACCCAGGACGGGACGCCAACCAATCGCAGGGCACGCAGGTATGTTTTTTTTAAGTTTGCTAAACGGCACATATTAATATGGAATTACTTAATGTACAATTAACTTGACTAGATAAACACAAAAAGCAAAATCCAACGTGTCCAGTCAATTACGGCGCACAGCAAAATTAACTAATTAATGATGATTCGTTGCTAAATTTACACTGGCAGCGCTTATGGGAAGCGGGCTTAGGTTACATCAGAAGGCTAATAATAATACCTTAACATACAGTCATCAAAAATGTGCCGTGAACGCTGCCTTCATATTCAGTTTAAATCAAATTAAAATTTAGCAGTGACCGCCTTAATAGTGTCTATGTAGCTACTGAAACAGCAAGTCTAACGAACCACCCTGTTATAATTCAATGATTTTAATCAATGTAGTGAATTTTATATTTATAATATTATCCTATAGCTACGAATGTATACGTATAAATCATACTTAACTTTATATTACCTTGATATAAAATGTTACCGTGCAATACGAAATTAATTAATTGCTTAATGGCTCATAAGCCAAGAACTGTTTTAATTTGGAGCTCAAATACAGTACAATGTATTCCTCGCGTAACACCTGAAACAGAATACAATATTATCGCCCCAAAGCAATAGTGCCAAAACCAAAAATCAAGATAAACATTTCAGCAGCACTATGTAAAGCAAGTGACGAAGGGTTTCAGTCTAGTTTCTCACCTAGTACGGCTTCCCCACACTTACCAGTCCCGCCCTGGAGGAGCGCAGAGCAGAGAATCACGCAGCAGACTGAGAGCATCTTAAACCTGACTTAGTCCTTCCGAGTCCCACTGCTCGCTTTCAGCTTTTTAATCTGCCTTCCAAATCCGCTCAGCCAAGTCCAGAGATACTGGCCCACTATCCGCTTAGTGCCTTTTCCCACGCCGTTTCGGAGGTCCGTGCATTGGCAAATAGCCTATTACTTTCCAGGGCAGACGAAAAAGACGCGGTCCTAATAGTTTACCCTTAACAAATAGTCCAAGTCCTCTCACTTGTCAAAAGTTCTGTCTCTGTTGTTTTTCTTTAATTTTCGTCCAATATAGAGTTACTAGAGGCCCTTTAACCACCAAAGCCAGGACATTAAAATACATTCAATATTTAAAACGCCCCCGAAGCATTCAAGTCACGAAAAATATAGGTAAAGCTACCATAATGCAATTTTAGATACGTTCGTGTATTACTATAATTTTCATCTGGATCCAGTTTTCTTTTTCCTGATCCATTTTCTTCGATCTTACTAACACAGAGTTTTACTAGAAGTACAATAATAAGCACATAAGTACAATAATGATGGCGGCTATTAGTTGTGGATTTCGGTTTGACCGTTTGGACAATATTTAGATTTTTCTGTTTATCTTAATTAATGTGCCATTTTATTTATAGAGTCAGCATAACATGAGCAATGGAAGCGGAACAAACGCCTACGATTATCGCTATGAAATGACTTCGTCAGGTTTCCGAAAGTGCGTATGTACCTGGGGTTTTATGTAACCCCTAGTGGCCGACACGAGCACTGCAACTTGAATATCACTGATTCGGGATGATTGCTGTGAGAGGACAAGACCACCAGGTTGGCCGACCACGGCAATCTGCAGCTTCAATGCAGAACAGCTGACGTGCATGTATTTCTGACTGATAAATGCTACCGCTACTATTTTTTTTCCTTGAAAAATCAAGCAAAGTGTCCACAGTATTGGGGATAATATGCCCTAGCAGTTTCGAGATTTCCCATGTGTGGTTTCACTTTACTTTAAAGTGCTGTCATCTCAATCCGTTGCTTGTCAGGACTCCGCTGTTCACTTAGGGACCTGTGTCCAAAGTAATGATGTTTGACATGAGATCTCGCAGCTGTGTGCTTGTCTACTATATAAGTAGTGTAAAGTATAGTATAATAGTATAATGGTTTTTATAACCTATTGTATTACAATTATATTTACTATTGTACCTGGATTTTCACTTGCTTTTCTTGAAAAATAATCTGGTATATAAATTGTAGGGGTCTTTATATACTGTATTATATGGTAATGACTGCAAAGGCGGTAAGGATGAACTTGTGCCAGACCTGTTCCCAGCTGAACACTTTGTCATAGGGAAGACTGGGGTGTAGTTTGGGGCAACATCAAACCCTCCATCTAAGTATCATGAGTGCAGAGTCAGGTGGAACAGGCAGGTAGCCTGTAACCTACAGTACAGGGTCCGAATATCAAAACTGTGTCCGTAGGCCCGTCTTCCTCCATGTCTGCTCTTTATGAGCTGAGGTATATTTCACCTTTGGCACACGTTCCCTCTGCTCCCGAACCAACACCTGCCCACAGCATCAGTCTCCACCCAGACTCAAGGAAGCTTGATGGGTTTGTTTCTCATCGCTGTCTAAAACCACATGCAACTTTTGTAAAGTGTTCTCTGCTAAAGTCAGAAGCAGTGTTGCCCTCTTCGTATACTTATCTGGATCTTCTTACTTCCGACTTTACATAACTACCCGCTTGACAGATGTGAAGATGTAAGGAGATTTTTCATGCCATTCTGACTCCCCCGAGTGAAGTATTTCGGGGAGAAAAATGGTTCTCCAGTTTCATGGCTCAATAGAAGGGTAAAAATAACAAGGAAAAATCAATCAAACATGTAACAGCTCTACAATGACAAGACAGTAAGTAGTAATGAAATTTTGCTGACATGACAAAATTCTTCTAACCCAGTTCATTTTTTCTATGTGGATTTCAGTCAAAACAATACATAAAAAAGTTTTTTTTACAGTGGAAAAGATAGATGTTGCATACATGTTCTTTGAAAGCTTACACTGATCAGCCATAACACTAAAACCACTAACAGGTGAAGTTAACAACATTGATTATTGTGTTACAATGACAAGGGTGTCATTATTTATTAGGTAAGTGAAAAAGTTGGTTGTTCAATCTGCAAGTAGGATAAATAGGCAAGAGTAAGAATCTGAGCAACTCTGACAAGGGCCAAACTGTGACGGCTAGACGACTGTGTCAGAGCATCTCCAAAAAGGCAGGTCTAGTGAGGTATTCCCGGTATGCAGTGGTCAGTACCTACCGAAAGTGGTCCAAGGAAGGGCACCCAAGGCTCACTGATGCGTGTGGGGAGCGGAGGCTAACCCGTCCGGCTCCATCCCACAGGAGAGCTACTGTATCACAAATTGCCGAAAAAGCTAATGCTGGCTGTGACAGAAAGGTGTCAGAACACAGTGCATCACAGCTCACTGCGTATGGGGCTACATAACTGCAGACCGGTCAGAGTGCTCATGGTGACCCCTGTCCACCGCCGAAAGCACCTACGATGGGCAAGTGAGCAGCAGAACTGGACCATGGAACAATGGAAGAAGGTGGCCTGGTCTGATGAGTCAGATTTTCTGTTACATCATGAGGTCGGCCGGGTGTGTGTGTGTGGTTTACCTGAGGAAGAGATGGCACCAGGATGCACTATGGGATGAAGGCAAGCCAGGGGAAGTTGTGTGATGCTCTGGGCAATTTTCTGCAGGGAAACCTTGGGTCCGGGCATTCATGTGGATGTTACTTTGAGATGTGCCATCTACACCTTGCATACCCAGCGCACCCCTTTATCGCAACGGTGTTCCGCGATGGCAGCAGGATGACGTCACCTGCCACACTGCAAAAAAAATTCAGGAATGGGTGGAAAAACATGAGTTTAAGGTGTTGACTTGGCCTCCGAATTCGCCAGATCGAGCATCTGTGGAATGTGCAGGACAAACAAGTCCGATCCCACCTCTCAACTTACAGGACTAAAGATCTGCTGCTAATGTCTTGGTGCCAGATACCACAGGACACCTCCAGAGGTCTTGTGGAGTCAGTGCCTCAATGGACCTAAGCGGTTTTGGCAGCACAAGGGGGACCTACACAATATTAGGCAGGTGGTTTTAATATTATGGCTGATCAGTGCATGTATTCTATGTTGCAGCAACATTACATTTAAATTATTTGGTAGAAACTTTTGTCAAAATCAAATAAAAAGATTAAATAGATCATTTTAATTTTATGGGAGTGAGACAACATAACGAATAACATAGCTATTAAAAATACAATGAATTATTTCAAAGTTCAGGTCCACAAATAATCCGATTTAATCGAGTTCAAAACTAAACCCATAGATACATATATTTGTATATGCAAAAAATGTGCCTTTTAATTGCAGTTGGGATAAGAGATGAGTCCTGAGGGCCTTTTTGAGGAGAAGCCCAAGCCCAACCTCCAGTAAAGGAGAAAAAACAGGATTTTGATTAGCAACTTTTTAAATTTGGAATTGTTACAGAACCTGAATCAAAGGGACATGGCAATCATAAAGGGATATAGAGATTCATGAGGTCATTTTGTGAAAATTTGTGATTTTTTACATTTTCCTTGTCACAAAACATGTACACCATTAACATCTTACAGTACACGGAAATACGAAACTATTTTAGGGACACATGCTAAGAAAACCATCTACATTTTGGGGCCACGTTTCGGTGATAATGTGAAACACATGGAGAGCTTATCCGAGCTGACGGCCATTGTGAATAATTTACCATCCACTGATGGCGAGATGAGCCGCTCCAGCCCGCAGCTTGTTAAGCTGTTTTACAACCTGAAAAAATATTGACAGAGCAAATCAAGTGAAATCTCATTTGGGCAGAGCTGAGTCCTGCCATAATAAAACATGTTCAAAGAGAGGATGAAGAAGCGAAACAAAGAACCAGAAAATTTCTCTAATTATCTGCCTCCCACATCTGACACAAGCACGCACACATGCACACAGACTGTGCCACTTGCTCATTTTTAAGTTGTTTAGACATGTCTAGGTTCTCTTTCTTGAAGCTTGTGTGTGCCGGAGTGTGTTTCTGCGCGCGCCCCTCTATCTGCGCGTCGTATCATCTATCACACATCATCAGCTCATCATACCTTTAAAGAAACCAGGCCCACTGCCAGGTGATCGATCACGAGTGAAGAATTTACCCTGACTCTCACCTAATTAGCATCACTGTGCACCATGTCCGTCCTTGTAAATCACAGTCTGTGCCCCCGAGTAAAGTTCCATTTCTTTTTATTTAGCATTTTCCAACATGGTTGCCCCTATGTGCTTAACACGGGATGCAACATCTGTGACACATTTATTATATTTCCATAAGTTATTTCCATAATTTGTAATCCTAACTGAAGGCTGTACCGATTGAGCTTTTTGTTCTACAAATTACAAGATAACCAGCTTCCTGTGTCCGCAGAGTGTATTGCTGCAGTGCTGTAAATGCTGATCAGTTCAGTTACGTGACGCCAGGACTTTCAAACTCCTGCCAGGTACAGGAGTGAATCTAGAAGACTCTCCTGAACTGGGCCAGTAGCCAGCAGAGGGACATCAGAATGGTGTAATGTGATTATCTAGTTGCAGCACATTCACTGTAGAGGGGACAGTTCGGATTCCCTAATTTTAATTTCGCGAGATAGTGTTTCTGTTTATATGGGAAGCAAAAGCTTTGGGCATGGATTTATGTGGACATTTCAAAGGTCACTGCGGAGATCAAAGGGATTCTGGCTCGGGGTATAGAAGAGGGGAAGCTTTCTGCTGTCTGATCTACAGCGGTGTAGGGGAGGCCTGGGCTATCTCATTGTAGGGGTGGCGTCGAGGGGGGGGGATGGGAAGCGTAGCTGTATCTGAAGCAAGGCGACAAATCAGGACTCCGCATCCTTTGGGGAGGAGCTTGTGTTGGTTTGATGATCAGCTCAATGGCCAAAGGTACACAGTACAGGACCAGGGAATGGGGCGAGATGGAGAGGAGCAGACTGGCCATGTGGCAGCTGGATGACCTAGTGAGCGATTCGGCTGCTGGTGGCACTCAGTGACTGAGGCGGTGATCTGGTGCTCAGGTGGAGGAAGCCTCTGTTCTGTATTGGCATTAATGTGACCCTGAGTTTGTTTTGTGTTTCTTTCATTTTTACATTTTTAATTAACAGGTTGTTTGTTAGGGTGGTGCAGTGGTTAGCATTGTTGCCTCACCCCAGCGTTTGAGTCTCTGGCAGGGTTCCACGTGTGTGGAGTTTGCATGTTCTCCCCATGTCATTGTGGAGTTTGCATGTTCTCCCCATGTCATTGTGGAGTTTGCATGTTCTCCCCATGTCATTGTGGAGTTTCCTTTGGGTACTCTGGTTTCTCCCCATGGTCCAAAAACATGCAGAGGCTAATTGGAATTACTAAATTGCCCATAGGTGTAAGTGAATGCTGTGTGAGTGTGAGTGTGCCCTGTGCTGGGTTGGTGCCCAGACCCCCCCCTCATGCCCTGCCCCTGCCTCATGCCCTGGGCGCTCTGGGGAAGGCTCCAGCAGGGGTGTAGTTAGAAATTCTGTGCCACTTGCTAGTTTTTAAGTTGTTTAGATATGCTCTTGAACCCCCTCCTCCCAATTTTATTTGTAATTTTAAGTATTTATGGGCCCCTGTAAAGTGCTGGGTCCCCTGAAACTGCCAGGGTATCC